GTCAGATATGGATGCCATCACCAGGAGCAGAAAAAGGAGCCGGAATCTTGGTCCTGCAAGTTTTTCTTGTTGCGAAAGTTTTTAATAGTTTGTTGGCGCTTTCGCTGATTTGCTGCAAAGCAAAGTTTCTTTTTTCCACGCTGCTCTGGGAGTTGGTCCAAGGAGATGGTCTTAAAGTATGCAATGCATTGCCCATGATCTGGGCATGCTAAATTTCAATGGACTTCCTAATGAAGACAGGATAGCCTGCATCTAATACGCAAGTAGTTGGCCTCAACGTCTCATGTTGGGCTTTTTTTTAATAGTTTTTGATGCATTATTTAAAAAGTCTCTTTGTAGGAAAAAAGTTGATAGAAATTTAAAGCCTTTGAATTATTTTATATGAAGAAGTTTTTATTATGACCCAAATTTTATTCATAAAATCAATCAAAAATAAATAATAAATTTACATAAATGTATAAAATTCAATTCAACTGATTGTGAAGAGATTAAAAGGATTTTTTTGTAAATCAAAAGGCAATGAAATGCAACAAAAATTAAAAAATTATTTAAATTGAATTGCTAGCAATCTCTAAAGTTATATGCGTACACAGAAATATAATCCGTAATATGCGACGTTTTATGTGCAAACATATAAAATAAAATATTTTAAAAAGGTGAAGTAGTCAGGGAAAATCCAAATTTGAACGTCGTTTTTAGGTCTCCAAACCCCATTCATTTCATAAGTGGGATACTTACTCGTTTTTGTTGGCCCGCTTTTCTTCTATCTGCAAGTGGATGCGACGTGTCCGCAATAATTTGGTCGCACTGCTGCGGAAAACTGGGGCTCCAGGCTCCGAGAAAAAAGGCAAATATGTGTCAGGCATGGCCGGAGAAAGAAATGCGGGGATTTGTCACATTTTGTAGGCTGCAGCAGGAGCTCTAAAGCGGCGACTAAAATAATCAACTAAGCCAAGTGCGGCAACTGCGACAAAGTGTGCGGCACAGCAAATGAAGAAAGTTCGCTCGCCCTTTCACCGCTTTCCCCTTTCACCGCTTTAACCGGTCACATTGCGAGAAAGTCGTAGAAAAGTAGTTAAACTTCTGGCTTTTTTCGCTGACATAATTCGCGAAAAGTGCGCCCGGCGCCAGTCCTGAATGATATATCCGAGGGGTAGTAATAAATTCCTCCAGTCATGCCACAAAGTGTGCCAAAGTTGCTAAAGTCCTTTTTTGTATGTGAATGTGAAGCCATCTGAAGCCATTTCCATATGGCTGGCTGGAAATCAGATAGTTAGAAAAGAGTCAGAAAAGCGCAATTGCAATTGCAATAAGCGCATAATTTGTATGACAAGTGGCACTGCGGGTTGTGAGTGCTCTTAAGTACCAGTTTAGCATAGAAATGAATTAGTTTTAAAGACTTCTATTTAAGGGTGTAGAAAAACCATCTTACAGGCTTAAGTTGAACTTAAAATTAAAAGGAAATATTACAAAATCATTTCATGAAATATTCTATCTTTAAACGTATGTTAATTAACAATATCAAACTGAAAATTTTTAATTGATTTGAAATATAAAGAAAAACTTTAACAAGATTAATTTATATAATTTGTTCTTGTAAGAAAAAAGGCAATGTGTGCTTTTTAAAAAAGTTCAATTTGGCCCAACTCAAAGGTTTTTTGTTATGACTACAAGGAAAAAAGAATATTCTATCAATTAATATTAAAAAAACATTTATAAGCTGCGGATCAAAACATTTTTTAATGGCGTAAAATTAGCATAAATATAGTGAAAAAATGGTAACAGATTAATAAAATGCATACGCATTTCTATTTATAATTCATTTCACTTTTGTCGCTTCAATTTGACCTTCACCCAACATAGCGGACTCGATTAAAGCCGCAAAATGGCCATTGCAGTCGGGACCACGCCCCTGGTCCAAAAGGGGGGTCTGGAATCCAGGGGGGGCCAAACAAATAACAACAACGTCTGGTTATGGCCAAGTTCAAGCCAATGTCTGGCGGCGTCTGGGGCACGTGCTGCCCAGATTCATCTCCGTCAGCAGAAGCCTCGGCATCAGCATCACCATCAGATTCAGATTCAGATTCGGCTCCATCTCCGCCATTTCTCTCCATTTAAATCGAGCCAAGGGGCAGGGGCGGCGCCAAGGGGGGTTTGGAAAAAATTGTGAAAAATTTGTAACCGAGGCGTTTTGTTTGCTCTCGTTTGCTTTGGTCACGGATACCAGACTGCCAGTCAAGTCAAGTAAACATGATGTGCGGGGTCTAATTTTTTCCCCTTTTCCCCCTTTTTTATTTTTTTTATTTTTGCCAGCCAGTCAACCCAACCCGGTGGTTCCCCCTTTTCTCGACGCTGTCTGTGAGCTATATGGTTGCACAATATTTTACATTTTCATGCATGACGCGTTTAATCACGTGATGCATATGATTTTTAGCCAGCCCAGGGGTTATGGGTCTGAGGTTATGGAGTTCTGGGTTCTGGAGTTTGGAGTTTGGGATTTGGGGGCTTTCCTCATATATTCATGCATACAATTCCATCAGCATGAATTATGTTTTGCATACTTTCAGGCTGAGTTTGTGTGAGCTTTGCTTGTTTTGCGTTTAGGTCTTTGGCGCTGTCTGGCGCATTCTTGCAGCCCTTGATGCCCTCGGCAGTCGCCTTTCATCTCTCCCTGAGAGATCCTACTCGACACGGGTGTCCCCCCATTTTTTTTAGATTTTTCGGGGGAGTGGGTCCTCTCAAAAGTTGTGGATTAGAGCGTGTAATTTTGCTAAAAAGCGCCAACGAGCCGCACTTCACACACATGCCAACAGTTGTCTATGGCAAAATAGCAATGCCTTTTGGTATAATTCATAGAATTTACTAAAACCATACTTGAAACATTTATCTTAGTTAAATAATTGTAATAAAGATATTTTAAAGAGAAACTTATTCGAAAATAACCAAAATATCTATACAACATTTATAAAATAATAGAAAACAAAACTGATTTTGTACAAATATTGGCAATTGTTAAATTCTATAAAAATTAAGTTTTAACTTGAGACCTAATGTCTTGACCTCGACTGTATGTGTGCGAGAAGGGGGATCCCCAGTGAGCGGTTGTTGCCATATTTTAAGTGTTTTCTGGTTTTTCGGCCACTGTGCATTGCGCTTTTAATTCCTCTCGCAGCGCTCGCCTGTAATTTATGTGCTTAACTTTCACACTCGGCTGGCTAAAACAGTCACCGAAAAATCGTCATAAAAATAGAAAATATATGTATATGAACACTCGCACTTGGCCATTTCACACTTTTGCGCCTTTGGCCGAAAAGCGGCGGAAAATGAAAGCGGACCCGCAAGGACAACAGCTAAAAGCGGCGGAGACCGAATATATATTCCAGTGAATATTTATGAGCAACAAAAGTAGCATTTGTGCTTTACATTCCGACTTTATTGTGGCCATGGTTGGTGTTGCTGTTGTTGTAGTAAAAGTAGTTGTTGTTGCTGGTTTTGTGAGCAACAGTCCCGGCCATCGTCAAAATTCTGGCCGCCTTTTGTGGCAGCTGTAAGGACACCAAGAAAAATTGTAAATAAAATTCTAAAACCATTTTTGTATTTAAATTTAAAAAAATATTTTTTTAATATCATTAGAGAGTTTAAGATGGTCCTGACACGAATACACAAGTTTGTTTTAGAAACCAGTATTAAAAATAAAGGTATTTTTACAAGTTTAGACGTGACATATGATTTGAGGATGCTAACAAAATATACCGAAATAAATATAAACGCTTTTTAAATAAAAATTGATCCAATTGACCCTGTAAAACGATTATAACCTCATAAAACTGAGATTATAATTCAATTACTATATGTTTTTCCCCGTGTGATGATGTTGGTGCTGCTCTTGTTGCTGCTGTCGTCCTCATCGCTGTCAGCTTTTCCGACTCTGATGAGTTTATGCTTGGGGCCCATATTACTTTATTCCGGAGAGTTTGCCCTAGCCCCTGGCCACGCCCCCTCCGCCCACCGCCTCTGCGGTTTGGCCACACCAACACAGGGACATACACACACACACACACAGAGTCGGCCATTCATGACTGTCATGAGTTTTCCGCAATTGATGGTCTAATTATGCCGCCAACACTAAATTTCATGACTTTGCTGGTCGAGCCAACACGCAGACGAAGGCCATTGATGATGAGGGGAGAAGGGGAGGGGATTTTCTGCCGGAGGGGGGGAGGATTGTAATTTAATGGAAAAACATTTTGCCACACATCCACAGGGAGCGGAAAATGGGAGCTGTAGCTAAGGGCCACTTTACAGTTTGACAGCCTCTGCCGGCCGGTTGACATTTTAGCTCGGATTTATGGCCAGCTCTTTTCACCCGTATGTTAATGCAACAGTTTGAGATGCCTGCTTTTATGGATTCGAGTTTAAGAGCTCTTTTCGTTGAGGATGTTGTAATCATATAAGTTATGGGGGCATTAAAATAAGTTTAAGCCCAGCTTGTTACTTAATACAAGTATTTATTTTCAGGAAATCATTACAATATTTACGGCGTTCTTAGCTTAAAAGGTACCTAATATTATCATGAGTAATAAGTATATGTCTTTATTAATTAGTTATAAACAGCTTGTGAATATTATTCGATTAAACAGCCTAATTAGTCACATTTTTTGTAGCCAGCTTATTGAGATCCACTCATTCGAGAATCGCTACCTCTATTTGGATCTGTAAAGCCGAAATGGTAATTATCGCACCGAAACCAATGGGGCATATCAAAATGTTCACACTTCATAATATTTGCATATTAATGTGCATGTATAATTTGCTCCAAAATAATTAATGCCCGAAAACAAGAAACCCAATCGAATGGCTGGGCATAATCAAGCATCTCCTCATGAGAATCCATGGGTTTGTTTTGTAGAATATTTGATGTGTGAGTTTAGCTAGTCGGAGTTTAGTTCTTGGCAAGAGTTTCGACTGGAAGGTCTTCTAGCACTAATAAGCCTTTAAATATGTATCCAAATTGGCTCGTTCTGCTCCACTTGCTGCTGGTTTGTTTGGGAGTTGGTTCGCAAATGTTTGCACAGCCGCTGACAAAGTAGGTCGTGTGGATTCCAATGGGGTGGTGGCTCCCAGTGGGTGTGGATGGTTAGCGGGTCAATCTATTGAGCAAACTATTTGCTTACAGGAACCACAGCAGCAGCGGCATTCTGAGCATCAATCGGGCGGAGGGACAACAGATCGAGGAGGCCGCTCTGCAGCAGCATCTGCAACAAATCACGGGCAGCGAGGCGTTGGCGTCATTGTTGCTCGAGTTACTGGGCCAAACTGTGCCAAATTGGCAGGAGCAACAACAGCCCTCCCACCAGCAACATCAGCCCACCCACCAGCAACAACAGGCCACAAATCAACCGCAACAACGGGGGCAACACTTTTTTGTTTATGAAAATGCCGCGGGTCAACCACCTCAAATATTGGCCGGGTTCAATGGCGTCAATGTGCAACCTGAACCGCCCAGCCTCCAGCCAAAGCCAAAGCAAAGGCCAATTCAGACTGAACAACAATATGTAGGAGCCGGGCCAAAAATCGTTGAGGCGCCGCCAGCCGCAGCCGTTTGGGCGCCGGAGCTCAAGAGCCACCCGCCGTAAGTAAACACTGCAAACTACCAACTTATATAATCCATTATTTGCATTAAACAATGCATTTTAATTAGCCCATCCCCGGGAGTTGCAGCGCCAGCAAGTTGCCAACTCAGCGGCAATCCATCGCAAGTTGCCGCCGTTGCAGGCAGGCCCAGTGCCACGCCCTCTACGCCCCCGACGCCCATTTTGGGGAGTGGCTACGAGACGATCCCGTTGCTCAGTGCCATGGCGCTCAAGGCGACAGCTGGTTAAGTTTTTAATTAAATCGCTGGCATAATTAATAAAGATGCGCATAGAGAGTCGGGCAAAGTGTTGCATACTTTCGGGGCGGTCGATCGCAAGGGTGTATGGGTGTATTGGTGGCCGTGCATATGTGTGTGTGCACTCAATTTTCATCTATATGACAGCAGCAGCTGGGGCAGATTACTTTTGGAAACGACTCGAAGGTAACCATGAAATTGTAAGTTTAAAGAAAAAATGGGATTTCTTAAAATACATTTTTTTTTGTTATATTAACTTGAGGTTACCCTTGTTCAGGCGTTTTTTTTTCTATATGACAGCATCATCAGTGGCAGATTATTTTTTGAAACGACTTGAAGGTTACCATGAAATTGTTAGTTTGAAGAAAAAATCCGATATCTTAAAATACATTTTGTTTTTAAATTTTAACTAGAGGTTATCTTTAGTTAAGTCTTTTTTGTTAGGCACATTTTAAACAAAAAGTAGGTTTTGTAATTAGGAAACTTTTGAGTTTAAAACCTACGTTTAGTTTAACTTGAGGTCGAGAAAAATGGCCTTAAGTGAAGCTAACGTTCAGTTAACCTGTAGTTAGAATGTGTTTGTATCTAATAAAATATCTAATCTTATCAGGATATATAACTCATCTAATTCTTCCATACCAGCTGTTCATAATCTGTTAAACAATGTAGTTGTCACCCTCTGCAAACCAGAAAGTTCCCGAACAATATGTGACTTATCTGTCATCATGGCTTCGGCTTCCCCCGACTGTGGTGCCAAGTGAACCTAGGCCATCGCCACCACCCAGAACCTCACCCACCAGGACTCGTTTCGAGCTGTCACAGAACTCAGCATAAAAGTAAAACATGCAACTAAAAACAATTTCTAAAAATATACGTACGAACATAAAACATGCAACACGAAAAAACCGCACAAAACACTTCATGTTGAGTGCGACTCGCAAATTGTGGGGCGTCTGTGTGAGTGAACTGCACCACCGGCACCACCTCAAAAAAGAAAAGAAGCAAAATAATAAATAAAAATCCGCAAAATGTATGTGTGCCGGAGCGTTGAGTCTGCGGCGGAGTGTTTTTCGCAAGTGTTCGAGCGGGAAAATGAAAGTGCTGAAGTGTCGCCCATTGTTTGTCCTGTCAACGAAGCAGCTGCCTGCATTTGCATTGGCCGCAAGGAGTTGATGACCGGAATAGTCGAAGGATGTACGCCAGAGGGGGTCTATAATCTTTGGGGTTTTTTTTATCTAAAGTCTGGAATTGAAGTAATAATGGGGGAGTAAAGCAGGACTACCAAGAAGGTGCACTAGATTTAATCAAAAGAAACTTAACTATCAGTAAAACCAAATATACAGATAATAAATATATTATGATTCTTAAGTAATACGATCTCCATTATCGTATTTGAAAAATAACCAAAATCTGTAAATGTTTTTAGGCACCACCCAGCATTCTTTTCCACTAAAGTCAAAAAAACATTTTAAAACATTCTAAATTAATATAAAAATGTATACTTGGTAATGTCTAAGAAAGTCTTCCAAATTTGAGTTTAGTACCCGTTCGCTGTAGGTTTTGACAATCAAACTGAAATTGGATTGGATGTGGATGTGGCTGTGGCTCCGACCCTTTGACGTCTTGCAGATGTGAGTAGAATGGTATGGGGGTGGCTCCTTTGTTGTCATCGGCACTTCGGTACACATTTTATAGGTCTCCATCCGAGGTCTGTAATTTCATGCACGCATAATCAGGGAGCGTGGCTAATTAAATTCTAAACATTCGCCAGCGCAGCACACTAAAAAATGTTTTATATGACTAGAATCTAGAGCCCCGTTCCCGGTTTCCACATCCTCATCCCCCATATGTACCCATCCCCATCGCATCCCATCCCCAGACTCCATCCAATCTCGAGCTGGTGCTTTGTAATTGCAGATCCCGGACTTCGTGCACGCCCCTATGCAAATGGCACAAAGCTCCTGCTTTTGTTGTAGTTGCCAGTACACTGAGAGAAATTTATCTTGATTTTAGAGATGCGTTTACCATTGTTACAGTACATTTATTTATCTATCTTTGGTAAAATGTTTAAAATATAAATCTAAAATATTTGGCTTTGCTGGCATTTCAATATTATCTTAATGTGCTACTCCATAAAGTATTATATTTATATATTTTATATTTTATTTATTTATATTTTAGTTAAAATATATGTTTCTCTTTTAAACAAGACACAATTTTTTTTCTAGCTATATCAGAAATATAATACTAAAATCTTTGATGCTAAGAATAGTGAGATCTAAATAGACACCTACATACAATTCGTACTTCATAAGGTAGAAGATATTATTTAAAAGATTATATTAAGGAAATTATTATTAAAATACTAAATATAAATAAGAATGTTTATATTTTTTTATATATTGAGAAGAAATCACTTTATTATAAGGAATTAAGAACTTCAGTTCAAGGTTTGTTTCGAGTGCTTTAAAAACCCTAAGCTTTCGTTTTGTGGTGTCTTAATTTTATGGAAAGTACTTCCCAATTTTTCCGAGTGTAAATGTTGCTGCTGCTGCTCCGTGTTGTTCTCTTTGTGCCCATCTGCAACCTCATCTCATCTCGCGCTGACGGCTTTTGAACTGCCTTCGTTTGTTGTCGTTGTCGTTGTCGTACTCTAAATTAACCGTTTCGTTACGTCAGCGCTGTCTTTTGTGCGTTGACAGAAGCGATTGTTGTTGCTTCTGTCGAGTGAGTCCTGTAGTCCTGCAGTCGTGGAGCATGGAGTCCCAGAGTCCTGTTTAGTTGCAAGTTTGTATGAGGCAGCCGTGCGTGCCCGGTCGCCTGGCAATTGGAGCAATCAGGCAGCTGAACTCAGCCCGGTTCTCCAGCTTTTTGGCCCGTTTGCAGCTCCAGACAGCCCATCCCAATCCCGAACCCAAACCCATACCCACTACCGATTCCAATCCCAAGCCCCCCGGCACTCAGCCGCACTCAACTGACGGCGCAGCTCGGAGACAGTTGGCTTTGTCTTGTCAGCTGGGTCCTGGCACTGTCCTGATTGGCATTTACAATTAGCGAGTGGGTAAATAGAGGGATGCTGCGAGAATGCTCCAAGTCCGGGTGCCAAAATAAACTAGAGCTCGTTTTGGGGATCGCGGCAACAAGCATGCTTAGGAATTAATCCCTTTTTTATAAGACACCTGACTTTAGAAACCTGTAAAACAAGTATACTTTGGAATTAACTCATTTTTTATAAGACACCTGATTCCAGAAACCTTAAAAACAAAACAAGTCTAATAAGGGTTAATTACAATAAAGTTTTAAGGATCTTGGAACTCACCCCTTTATTTTATAAGACACCCTAATTTAGGAACATGTAAAATAAGAATATTCTTCTTAAGTTTACTAACAATAAAGTTTTGAGGCTCTTGGATACATGAAAGCTTTGGAATTAACCACTAATAACAACAAAGTTCTATACTTCGGATATCATTGATCCTTGTAGCTATTGATCCCGTAAATAATATCTGAATCATTAAAAGCATAAAGTAAATGAACAAATTTATTATATAACCCCTTACAACGCATACGTTAAAGATCCTGTGATAACTATAATGAAATCTCCTGATTTAGGGTAGCAAACCGTCAACTAAAAGGCCTAAAAGTATGCAACCACTAAAGCTCACGCACACACAGACCCCTCCACTCATGCAAAGGTGTGTGCGTGCTTGTGTGGCAATGGAATAATGTACTCTTAATTTGTTATGCGTGTGTGATTAATGATCCATGCATAACGATAACTTTGACTCATTACACCTGCTGATTTATCGCTGTCAACGGGTGGTCCACAATGTCACATAGCCACCCCAAAACCCCCTCCCCCCACACAACACCCACTCACACACACACACACACGCCATTACAGGCACATGGAAATGAATTTTGAATTTTGATTCGGCCACTTTCGCTTAATCATTTCGCAATTAGCCGGCATTGTTAGGGCATTTGCATTGATTTATTGACGCTGTCGCCAAGATTGCTCGCTGTTCGATTTCCCCCATTGGCATTTTTAATTTTCCCATTTTCCATGTCAGTTAATTTTCCACTACTGTTCGCCAGCATGGAAAATGCACAATTAATTAAGCTTTACTGCTTGTTTTTGCTTTCGCCTCCATTGACTTTTCCGCTTTTCTCGTTTTCTTTATTCCCTTACTTTTTTCCCAAGCATTTTTTGGTCTTTGGAAAGTGTGAAGATTCAGATTCACTGGGTATATCGATGGAAATTCAAGTAATTAATGGGCGTGGCAGCGGTTGCCCCCAACACTTGTACCGCCTGCGCTAATGACCCATATTATGAGGTTATTACTGCAGTCCACTTGTGTGCGACTGTGTGTGGGTAAGTTTTCGCGATTGCCAGTGCATTTGTGATGACATTTCGAATGTGTTAAGTAATTGCAAAAGGCTCTGATGAGTCGTCGAAACCGAAGAAGTCTGCGGGAAGGAAAGGGAAACACTCGTCCGCGGAGGCTGATGAACTGCAGTTAATTGAAGTCTATTTGGGTTGATGGATGGTCGGGCTGGTCTGAATAAGCAACGACCATCTGCCCGGGGGAGTGGGTCTTAATTAGGGTATTCCGTATTGGGTAGGAAATACCTGCCTCCGCTGAAAAAGGCCCGAAAAAGCGGGTTAGCCGGAGTTGGGCAAGATCGGTCAGCTAGATTGGTCCCGAGTTGGGTTTTAATTATAATGAGGGAGTGTTACGTAGAGGCTTTAAATATATTTTAATATTTTTACGATTTTTATACACACCAGGTTATCTATATTTATTCATGTTTAAATTAAGACAATTAGCTGTTCCACTTCATATGCTTTGTTTGATATATTATATGCACAAAAACAATTTAATTATTTATATGATTTATAAAGGATTAATTGCTATACAATTTTAATAATGCGGTTGTATTGGTTTTTAAAAATTAATTTTTCATCAGAATAATAATACATACATTTAAGAAAAAACTGTTCTTATTTCATATAGTCATAAATACATTCAATGGCGTAGGCAGACGTTTTTTAAGGGGGATTTAAAATGTTTTTAAATAAATTTGTATAAATAAATTATATTTTATTGTCGCAAGGCTCTATTTATTTATTTTCACTTATAACTTTATTACAAATCTATCTCGTAAATATAATTCTTCAGAGGGGAGGGGGGTTAAGCACCCCAAAACCCCCCTGTATTCAGTAATATATATAGTTTACATATTGTTTGCTGTCAAAACTTTAAAGTAATGAAGGTACCTTAAAATCCTTGAGATCATATCAAGTCATATATGCACAATAGTATATATATTTCTTATAAGTTATAAAGGTTTTACTGCTCTGCCCCCAGCTGAATTTAAAATGCCTCCGATTGAGGTGAGCGTGCGCCAAGGAGCGGCCTTCCTGGCCCTGTATGTCCTGCTCCTGGCCGCTCTGGTCCGTCCGCAGATGAACTTCAGCATCTTCGTGGACTCCTTCTTCCTGCGGGTGAAGTACTCGGCGGTAATGGTGCTGAGCTACCGCTTCGACACCTACATGGCCGTGGCCGCCGCTCCACTCAGTGCCGTCACCGTATTCGCCCTCTCCAAGTGGAACGAGCGGTGCGAGAATCCCTCGCACCAGAAGATGATCATCACGGGCGTGGCATGCTTCTATGTCCTGGTCCTGCTGGCCAATGTCCTGGCCAATGGCATGGTGATGCAGCAGGCACTTATCCGGTTCGACCAGTGTCCCTATAGGGCCTGGTACATGTACGGCCAGATGGCGATGTCGTTCATCAAGTCGTCGATTGCGGACGTTCAGGAGGTGATCACCAGACAGCACCACCGACGACCCAGGCTGATGTATCGCATGCATTAGGTACAGCTTAAAATCATTATCATTCAGTATGTTGAATATCAAGACAACTATTGGAGCATGTATAGACGTTTAAAAAATATGATCTTATATAATAAAATAAAATATTATCTTTATAAAATCCATAGAACGTTTTAAAGCTGAGTAAATTATATAAGGTACAGCTTTAAAAATCATTATCATTTAGTATTTCCAAATGAATTTCAAGAAGACTATTGGGATATGTATTGGCGTTTAAGATATATATCAATCTTTTAATGGGTTTTTTATAAATAATTAATTTGTGTATTGGGGTATGTATTTGCGTTTAAGATTGATATATATTTTAAACGCCAATACATACCCAAATACACAAATTAAATATTATTTATAAAAAATCCATTAAAAGTTTGAAATAAGTACGAGTAAATAAGGTACAGCTTAAAAATCTTTATCACTCAGTATATCCAAAAGAATTTCAAGACAACTATCGGAATATGTATAAAAGTTTAAAATATATGATACCATATAATAAAACAAAATATCATTAAATTACTTTAGTTATGCATTGGAAGTCCATGAATTTATTTATTGCTGAACCTATACTTTCATTTGTAAGGATTCAAGAAACGTAAGTCTCAGCAATAATTAACAGCAGCCAAATAACTGATATTGGGAATACAATTATCCAAATCAATTAACACAATTGTGTAATATTCAATTACCTCCCTGCCTTGTTTAATTTTGGCATTCCAAGGCATCATAATTTCATCAAGGTAAGTGCAAGGTAAATTATTGTGAGCGGTGATTATTTATCCGGCAACTGTGACTTTATCTGGACATTAACAGGAAAACAATGAACCCAAGGTTCAAGTCGGTCTGAGGTTTCCAACTGACCAGCGTCCAGCTGCCGGTGATTCGATTGTGGGTGGTGCAGAATGGATTGTTTACGGTGGGTTCTTGTGAGTGGGTTTCTGTGTGTGGGGTTTCTGTGGGTCGATGGCAAATGATGTGCACAGTTTGTTGCGGTCAAGTTGCATATTAGATTTAATGCGATTTGCATTCGCCGCTGCCTGCATCGATAATGATGCGCTGCCCCAGGCGACACTTGGCTGTTTGGTTTGGTTTGGTTACCAGTTTGGAATGGGATCGGGATGGGGATGTGGATTAGGATTGAGTTTGAGGAAACGTTTGTCTAGGCAACCGCAGAGGCGGCGGGGTGTCCTCCGATTTTAAGGGGGGGTTTGGGCAGGGCGTGTCTGGCGAGTAAGTAATTTTGTGGTTGTATTCCGGGGCACGTTGCTTTGAGGCTGCCAACTCGATCGGCGTTGTGGCGTGGGCTTTTGGCAAATAGTTAAGCGCAAACAGAGTCCGAAATCTCTACCCCCCCCAAAAAAGACCCCCAGGCTGGAATCCTGCCCCGGATAATTGAAATTTTATGCCAGGCTTAAGCAAAAGTATACAATTCCGACTCTGACGCAAATTCCCAACAAAATGTTTTACATATTGTAATCCAGAGACAAAAAAAAATACATTGTTTTCTCTGCTGCCAAAGCTCGAAAACATGTCTTTGATCTCCAAAACATGTGCACAAAATGACAAAACAAAATATAAAAAATATATAAAAATTAAAAACGGGCCAATTTACACACAAAAGGGAAAACGCAGAGCCAGCAAAAAACTTTGTGCATATGCATATATGCAAAATACAAATTACAAAATACAAACAAATTAAACGAAACGAAATGTAAGTGCTTAAAACAGAGCCAAATGAGTTCTGACTTTGCCGGGGGCATTAAATATTTCCCCAAAAAAATGCGAGAAATTCTGAAACCCGACAACGGGTTTTCCCCGAGACACTAAAACTTATTTATGCCTTCGTTTTGATCGAGGGGGTGGCCTGCTGTCTCTTTCTGACAGCCCTCTACCCTCTCTTTCGCACACTCACGAGCGTGTGCGCCTGACATTCCAACTAAATATAAAACATTGGAACATGCTAATTTATTTTTGAACTGCGGGAAATAACATCGATGTTGGCTGCCAACAACTTCCCATCGAAGGCTGTAAATAAACTGTGGTTAAACCCAACTGGCCATCCCAGCTAAAGCCAGAAAATATGTGGAACAATTTGTCTTTTTGAGATGGCTATACAGCATTTTTGGGATCTTAGATTTCCCCAGAAGACCATCATTTCTATATTGGTAAAAAATAAACAGGAATAGTAGGGAACTTTAAAACTTCAGTCATTTATTCTGATTATAATTTAAATAAATAGTATTTTTTAGCAAGTGTGTAAAACATTTTTGTTATAATATTAATTTGTATTATATCGAATTAACATTAATTAGTTGTATTTTTTCAGGAATTATTGAACAGGTAATCAATTGCTTAAATGTACATATATTTATTAACTGCATTAGTACTTTGCAATTTGTAAAGTAATAAAGTTAAGTGATTGTCAAAAGTTTATTAAACCAATTATTTATTTCCTTTTCTAATACTGGGTATCAACGATCCGAGCTTCCCAGTTAAAAAGTGCAAATCTGGCTTAGATTTTCCTAACTCTTATCTTAAGTGATCATAAAAAACCGCCAATTAAAAGAGCGCACTTTGAAGTGTGTTCTAATTTCTTTTTATTTTTTTTTGCGAGCTCAGCAGAGCTACCTCTTTCGATTAAGATATAATCTCGGAACCGAGGTTCGGTCTCCAAAAGGCACTGCCTGGGATTTTCCCGATGGGATGTGGCGAGAAGTTATTGAACCGCCGCAGGATTATCAGTTTTTAAAGTGACAGTCGGTTGACAAAAATTGAAATGTCAGATCAATGCGAGGCAATAAAAAGCAGTGATTGATGTGCCAATTTGTTATCTGTTAATTAACATATCCCCTGCCCGCCTTAATTACCCTCCAGCGAAACGAAACACCCAAGTTCAGTGGTACAATGCGAGTGCAATTAATATTTTTATTACGTATAATTTGGATTAATTGCCGCGCACATTCCATGAATCATCCCATCAAATGTGTGTCAATGCGAGCGCCTCATAGTCGAGCATCTCGGGCAGATTTGCATTTCTTTTGTCCACACTGCCTGACGCCACAAACCCGATCCCAAAAATGCTGGATCTGCGGCTTCCCTCAGGTGTTCCTGACCTGTGCTCCCCGGCTCATCGTGTGTCACTCACTCCTCGAACCCCAGAATCTCGGAATCTCAGCCTCTGCATCAGCATCACCAGCAGATTCAGATTCATCTCGGCTCGGCTGGAAATCAAAGTTTAGAAACCGGATTTGCATGCCAATAAAGCCGAGGCTGGCAAACAAAACAAATCAAACGAAATGAAATTCTTTTGGCTTTCGCCTGGCTTTTGCTTTAAATACAAAATCGCACGGCTCAGAACATTAGACTGGTTTAAGAGCTCGAATTAAGCGCATTGACGGGGAATAAAGTCAGACGTCAGCTGGAAACACATAAAGATCCTCCAGCAAGTGTGAACAACCAAAAAAAGTGCTAAAATTACATTCCAGCTAATTATATAAGATCATTTTTGGTGTTAATACTCGTTTATTACCAATGGCTGACAAATATAACACTCAAATGGTAAGCATCTACAGTGAATTTTTTGATCCTTAGTGGCTTAAAATATTTTCTCTATATTTTTGTATTAAAAAATGTTTCATTTACCAGTTAATTGTTGAGACCACTTTTAATTTAAAGTAAAATTGAATTGGTATATTGACATTATTTTTGGAAATAAAAAAGTTTTATTAGATCCCAATAAAAATACTTATATTAAAACAAAGCAAAAAGATAAAGTACCTTTCAAATTATAATTAGGTACATTAAATTATAGACTACAAAGGCCTTAAAGGTTCTAAAAAGTCTTAGAAATGTTGATATCCTTTAATGATTATTTTATGCTATTTTATCTGTAATATAGATCCTGCTCAGCTGCAGTTTGGCTGCGTTCCTGAGCTTCTCGGAAGCCCTTCCTCGATACAGTCGCCCCAGGGATCTGGCCACTGCCGGCAGCTCCCCCAGCTTCGCCTATGCCCCCAGTCCCCAGGAACCCATGACCCTCACTGCAAACTACAACCTGATCATGCCTGACTACTATGATAACCATCCAGCTGAGTCCATGCAGCTGCAGAACTTCGCCAACTTCCACGATGCCCAGACGAGTCCCGATTCCGATCTGGGAATGGAGGAGTCCCAGTTCCTAAGCTACACTCCTGTGAGAGCACCCCAACCCCTGACTGCCCAGGAAAAGCGTGCCCGCCAGCAGGTTCCCCATGTGGACATCAACCGGGAGAAGAAGGCCCTGCTCAAGCTGAAGAAGGGCAACACCCAGCCCAGGGGAGCCGATCACCAGGAATGGGACCAGTTCGACTACGATCTCTACAGCCTCAATCCCGGCAATAACAAGAAGTACAACTACGATTTCTAGATAATTGGGGGGTATTCCTCTCTAGTTTGACTGTATATGTTTATGTTTTTGTTTTCTGTTGGTTTAAGCTCACAAATAAATTATTTATTTATTGTTTACTGCAATCGGATTTTTGTTATTTTGATTGGAATGCTGCTTAAGCCACTTTTTGCTGGAGCCATATAATTCTTATAATTGGACAAAAACCATTAACATTCACTTTATAACCGAAAGCAGACCAATTCTGGCGAGTGAAAACAGTGATGATACTTTGCTGGGTATATTTAGCTACGTTTTAAATTTGTTTGAATCCTATTTGTTGTAAAAAACACTGGCAAATATATATGTTTGTTATGATAGGTGCCTTGCAGTTTTTGTACTTAATCATTCACTTTACAGTCACAATTTATCAAAAGAAAAATGTATCTCATAAAATAAATTTTATGAATCCATTCCACAGTCTATCCTAAATATTGACACATTAAAAACAAACATTTATCTTTCCTAAATAGGAGACAAAGTTGTCATTGACTGACTCATGCCATGTTAGTAAATTAACTAACTTGATTTTACGTATAAATTTAAAGTCACTTTTGGCTCTTCGAAAATGTTTTGAATTTTAACATAAATGGTCTGTGTGGCGGGCAATGAATAATATCATTCAAA